ACCACTTTCATTTCAATMTTCTCTAGTCTGAYCCAAGGCTACCSAGGGGGACTGGAGAAAAAATTCTACTGCGYAAGTCAGCGAGGCTTCTGGGACTGACGTCATCAGCGGTTTTACCGAAAAGRGCCATACAATTTGGCTCAAGAATTGCCAAACTTGAAGGAGCCAATGAAAAGGGATCTGATACATGTGCAAGACTGAAATCGTGATGTATTGTGTGGTGTTTCTTCTTTATCAATAAACCTTCMTTAGTCACATGCTGAAACTGAACTTGAATAGCAAAAAATGSTGGGCGAAAAGAYGAGGTTTCTTGTATCTCGTATTCAGCTCGGCCGTACWCTGAAAAACACTGCTTAAAATYTCGCGCGMTATAATGTTTTCGAAGAAATATTGAGCGCAACGCATACCACGCTAGATGATATGTCATCAACAGATAAAGTCTTTCTGAAAATTCGTACGTTTARCCATTTTGTAGTTAATAAGCCTTGAAATTTGTTMTTTGCGCATTTCAATTGACAGCGTCTGGCGTGGAGGAATAGACAAAGAACTAAAAAAGGCGTCTTTACTTTGGAATTAAAYACCAGTGAATACCATTAAATATCCAGTTGGTTAGGGCAGGTATATTTATTAATTGACGATATTTTGAAGTACGGTGATTAAACAACAATATTGTGGACAGATCGAAAGATAATTTCACCAATTAAGCATGGCAAATTACTCCCGAAAAGAAATGGGGGGAAATGTGAAGGCGTTCGGCCCATGGAAAAAGTCTCATGACAATCTGCGCAAACAAGGGAAAGACTGTTGACTACTAAGGTGTGTCATCGTAATATCTATCTCAAAAAAAAATTTTCAATCCATTTTGTACAGCTTGAATCAGAGTCATAAAATCCTTTTCACACAAGTGCAAATTATAGTGGAATTTTTGACTACTTTTGAAGATTTCTGGGATTTTTTACATGGACTTTCAGCGATGAAGGCATACAAGGTTTAAATAATGATCTAAAACAAAAGAAAAAAACAAATCAATTTCGAGGCATAAGTATGGATTTAACAAAAGTTCATCTGCCGTTCATGAATAAGTAAATAACAAGAAAGTAGGCGATTGTACGTGAGTTTAACGCGTTAAAACTACTTAATGCTTCAGGGCGGACTCGGGTATTTGCGCGCACGACGATRTTCCTTTAATACATAATTTTTCAAAATCGGTACGCTTGCGGTAACAGCTTACGTACAGTACGAGTTAAGCTAAAAGTGATACGTGCCCCGTGTTGGAAATGTTCAGTTAAATACGCGAGGAAGTCACTTTTAACACATGAGTTATAGATAAAGCAATTTTCGTTATCATATTTAATAGGATTAACAAGCATCGCGAAACGTGTATCAACCGATGTTCGCAATTTTGCAGGTTACCTACAATATCATTCCATGAATAATTTAACTAGTTTTTTCGAAGCATTATTGATTCGTTGCAATAAATACATAAACCAAGCTATGAAAGAGCTTAAAAGATACATCGCAAAGCATATAATTTCTGTTTTTCCTTCGCAACGAATTCGCCATTGCCAAGCGTGCGCCGAAGGAAACACTTTGATTGGCGAAAGCTGAATTCATATAACATAATTGCGATTAACAATTACGAAAAAAAGTTGCTTTTTTTAAATTAATAATTCAGAACGTTATTTTAGAATGGACGTTTCTAGAAGGTTAAACAGGTACCTCCTTTATAAGTTGAGTCGTTAACCGTTTTGATTGAACACATAACGAGTGTCACTTTGAGTTGCACTTCTATTCAATAAAGTACATTTCTTTAAACAAATTAACACACACTTTCATAAAACACGAGCATCAGTTTTAATATTTTGTTTGTTTTAGATTGATAACCCGTTGGGAATTATTTGTTGAATAACTTCTTGTATAAATAGATTGTTTGCAAAAGGCGACAATTTTAATATTGAGTTAAAGTTACTCTTTTGGAGTTGGTAATTGTATCTTCAATTGATTGAGGCAGTTGGAAAAAGTGTTATATAAACGTTTTAGGTTTTGAAATGGTATTTACAGATTTTCCGTGCTTTCCGCATTCGCATGTTTAAATGACTCAATCTATTAAACTAAGTGTTAATCGTGACGTATGGCAGCATTTTAAGACTTTTTACGAACATTCAAGTAAAACATTTTATACCATTTCATTATGATTTTAACAATGCAATGTTTTCACTGGAGATGAAATTGCATGTTGTTTGAAATTGTTGACTTTAAAGAGTTGGTACTTAACTGTCCGAGAACTCGTGTTTTCAACAGGAAGAAAAWAATCCCAATTTTTATTTACTGTTAATTCGATTCATTTTTCAAAATGGTTGTGTCAAAACATTCATTGTTCAGTGTCATCATTGTCAAACTTTTCTTTGGCTCCAAATGTGTTTATATAAATCTATCATTCAATATTAATGGCCTTGCTTTTTGTCTGCCAGTAAAAATCATTTGGGACAATCGGTCGTGCTGTAAGTTTTGACAAGGGAAAGCGGTTTTTCGCTGGCCTGTCAATTAATGCGAGAACTGTACATGGAAATACTTAAGTGATTCCGTGGCTTTTGGGAAAGACAAGTTGGATATCACTACCAAACCAGGTATAGGYTTGCTTATAATTTTGCTTTTGAATAGAAGTTATTATTTGGTTCAACTCGGCCGCGACGTATATAAATTGCGTGGCGAATAACATGGCAAAATTCAATCATATATAATGACAATTAATCACAGTTTTTTTAGGTTTTAATGTCGCACAGAGAAACTGATGTAAGYTATGGTTTTCAAGCTAAACTCTTCAATATTTTTATGTGGCGAYAATTGAATTTTACACGGCGTGGACGGTAGACATTTTCTTTTAAGTTTCAATTCAATTCAAGAGATTAATTTTGTAGGTTAGTATACACTGAGCTCTTTCAAACAGACGCACCGGGAAGACGTCAAAATTTCCCCTAATTGAACATCTTATTATGATAACTGAAGGTTTAAGTAGCTGTTTACCGAGGAGAAGTTCAGCCACTAGTCGGGAAATTAGCTAAGTAACTCAAGCGATAGTTTAGCTAATTGACTAAAGCTGTTTTTTACTCAATGACTTTAAACACGTTAAGAACCTAAGTATCTTTTTAAGTGTGCTACAAGAAGTTTAAGAGTGTCATCTTGATCATGTCCTTGTGTCAAAACAATGGCAAAACGCAAAAAAATATTTGTTATATAAACTGTGTTCACAGCCAAAAGAATTACTTTTTCTCTTCAAAATTTCCCCAAACACTGCATTCATCTTGTAACTAAAAGAACAAAAACACAAAAAAGTTTATAAAACCATCCTCAGACAAAAGTTGAATTGAAGTTTTTTGTTAGTAAAACGAAGCTTTCGTGAATAAAATGGTCGATTTGTTTCGACTAAAGCTGTCCTTTGTGGCCATAAAAACTGCAACACACGTTTGTTTTGTTGAATTCTGCTGGTATTTCAATGTGTTTTTCGGCAATCTTTTAAGTTTTTCAATAACCAGCCATGTTTGTTAAACTTGGTTTCAAAACCCCTACTGAGCTAGGTAAGTAAATTCCCCAGATAATTGAATTCTTAATTTTTCCAAAGTCAATGTCAAATTTCACCTCAAATTAGAACTTTTGCTAACATCTAAGTATTTAGAATGATTGGAACGCTATGCGCGCGATCTTTTCAATCCATGATTAAAAGTATAGGAAAATTTGTGATTGGATAGTTTATGTCCCAAAAAGATTGACTGGAGCATTTGTTTGAAAACCGAGGGAAAAAATCAATAAATTCGCTGTGTATTTGTAATAACAAAGCAAGAACTAATGTTATTGAAAGAATTTCTTCTTTTCTTTGTTCATGATGACATACAATATTCAAAAATATCTTTTGTTTGAAGAAAAATGCATTTTGACCTCGAAAAATATTTCGGCTGTCCGAAAAAAGGTGCTTATAGCTTCATAAGAACTTGGAAACATCTACTCTTTATTGAGAAAGAAATATTTCTTCCATGTTTTATCAAAATTTAAGCTTTAAAAGGAAATTCTCTGTTGTATATGTCTTTTTTATGTCAATAAAAAACCATATTTTGATAGAATACTATAAATAAAGCAGGTACATTGGTAAAACATCGACGAGTAGACATTTGAATTGTATAAATGTTGGCGAGGGGTGTTTCAGGGTGGCTTCCAAACCTTTTAGAAATCAAGAAAAATATTGTTTTTGCACCTTATTCTAAGTTAAAATTCCCACTTAACTATAGAATTGTTTGATATTCCAGCTGTTTGCTGACTCTCTTTATATTTACCCTTGTGAATTGAAGTAAGTACCGCCGATTCGGAATCGGTAAAACTCCGTTAGCAACATTTTCTTTCAAAGAGAGCTGTAAAAATCAAATKGGGAGATTTTCCCTGATATAAGCTATTTTCAAATTGACATTTGGCGCGATTTTYTGTCACATTGTTTTTATAAATCTGTCAAAAACGAGACAAAAAACTCTGGATTTGGCTCATTGTTATGGCATGGGGTTTGTCACAGCTTGCAAAGGTGTTACTAAACTAGCAGGTACKCAAACCGTTTTCCTTTTTTTCTTTCCGCTATGTTTAAGAGGAGAAAAATTGGCATCGATTTCTTAAGCACCAGCTTATCAAATTGCTCTAATTTTGACCAGCAAAGACAATCGTGTTCCGCCCCTCAGATTTTCTGATCAATTTGATCATTACCTAAACAATAGATTTTTGCTGCGGTGGGTGTAGTTCTAGGTTCAATTATCGGACCTCTTCGTGTTGGAAACAGTGGGCTGGCGATGATCTATTCCCCGAACGASCGCGATAAAATCTTGTCGACTCTAAGAGTCTAAGTGAGGACAGTGMTTCCTTTTGGTGTGAGAACACTTTTCTACACCARACTGATTGAGGTCATTTTGTCTCGACTGTCGTCTCTCTACAGTCTGGTAACAAAATAGCTATCCGAGTACTTTTTGAAGAACAAAGACATATTGCGCGATTGAAATCGAAGATGTACTTGCAGTTGCATAGAGCTAACAATGYTGGTCGTTTRACAAGTTATCAGTAGCCCTGACTCAATCTTCAATTGCCCAAAACGTTCATCTGCATGCAAAATAAAAATAGAGTATGATAAACTTATGTAGTTACTCTTGGGTATTAAATTAAAACAGATCAGAAAGTACATGTATATGAAGGCAGCTTGGTAGTTGTAATTCTCAAATTGACATGGAATGAAAACAATGGCRTTGGCAACTGCTAAAACTCGTCCACAACAATATATTCCTGTCATTTTGTGTAAATTGTGACGGTTTGTTTTGTCAGTGAGWAGCTGTTTTAATAATAAGTTAATCTTATTAAATCTTTCAAAGYAATAATTGCTATTTCAAGTAATTCATCATTTATGCATCTCATATATTATTAAAAAGACTATAGAGATTTCAATATGGACTTGAATTGGATTGTTAAAAACTCGGGACTACCAATTTATGATATTAATAACAATAGTGAACAAAAACTATTTTTCCCTATCTTAGAATCCAACTACATTTTTTTCAAGAATTTCATAATGTTTAAGAATAGCAACTTAAAAAACATATTTTTTAGCTTAATTTTTTATTTGAACTTGAAGTATTTGATCGCGCGCGTGGCCGCCATCTTGAATCGAACACCGAAACTGCAAAAAGCCATTCATTCTGTTTACTTTTCATTTGAGCGACAGATAAACTTTATTAACTTATATAAACTAACTCAATACGTCCATCTCAGCCACGTGTAAACCTGCTAGTTTTYAAAACCTTTCGTTTGCTAAATTGCATTTGTTTTGAGAAGAAYGTGTTTTGAAAGCTTGTTTCTTATAATGTGGTCCCTGTTGAAGCTAATGGGGCATGAAATTGGCGTATTGATATATATATAAAACTGTTTCTTTTATCTATGAATTTTCTTTTAACTTCATTAAGTACATCTAATGTTTACTAAAGAGTTCTTATTTTTTATTGAAAGCTACTAAACCAAGAGCAAGCTCTGCTTTAAAAGAAGGCACTCGTTTTGCAATATGGCATCTTATTGTTGACATCTCCCGCAGCTGAAAGCTTTGTTGTACAGTAGAAATATTTCCAAATTTTGTGGAAAGATCGACCAATTAAACCTTCGATTACTCCAAACTGTTAATGTAACGTTTTTGTACCGACTTTCAAGCAGAATACCGCGCAAAAAAGACTAATATTTACAGTAAAATTCACGTTGATAATAAAATTAAATGTTGACACTCGCGAATTTTTAACAGGTTTTTTCTTAAACGAAAACATTGAACTAATATTGTTTTATTTCTTCAAAGAAAGAAAATTCATTTCGTAAATTAAAAGAACATGGTTTTCGCGCCTCTTTTGTAAACATGCGACCGACACCGAAATCGATTGTCCTGATTGGCTGAGAAGTCATCACGTGTTTTGTTCAGCCAATCAAAACCGGTGTTGC